CATGCCAAATGTATGTCTTGTCGTGTGCCATCACTATAAAGGATTGGAGTACAATAAATTTTACACATTAAATAGGCTACACTAACGTGATGTTTAGGCGGTTCGTTTAATTATTATATGTGATGTACGTTTTTTTGGGGGGCTAATGAAAGTGTTCCAAAATGCAACATTAATTTCTTGATGACCTAATATGTATATATTAAATTTCATGTATGATCCAGATCATACCCATTCCATGGACTGTCATGAAAAAAAAAACAGTGCTAGAGTTGTGTTTCTGCCCTCTTCTCTGACTAGTGCCTCTTGCCTTTTAGAAATAAAGTTTTGTCTCAAGTTAATGACCTTTCAGAACTGATGGGTATCTGGGCACATTTTCCAAGTTTCCCCTACACAAATCCCCCCCCCCCTCTCTTCAAGTGGAACAGGGGTGATGGACCATGGAGAATCCTCACTGATTGGAACCTAATTGCTGGGGCTAAAACAAGAGGTATCTGTACAATAAGAAATGGTGGTAGGGTAGCACCGGAGTGTGGTGTAGGTCACCCCATGTGTAAAGCTGTGATACGCATGATGTTCAGGTGGTCTGATTTTACACTTTACTCTTTTGATCTTTTATATATTTATTTATCTTGCAGCTGGTATATGGCCTATAGAGAATGTTGGTTGGAAATATTGTACCCTCCTCCTGCAGCTGGAATGAGTCCTGTAGATACTGGCGGTAGAGTTGAGGTGACCACACCGTACACACCAGTGATGTATCACTCACATACCTTACTCCCACAACAGGCAAGGAGCCAGTAGTGACTGATGGTCAAGTAGAGCAAGTAGAGCTTTATATAAGTATCCACACTAACATGGTTCTGTACAGTGCCCTCCTTCCACAACTGGCATGTTGTGGCTAGTGGTAGATGAGATGAGCACAAGTGCTCTTCTCTCACAGCTAGGTTTGACCCATCGAGTCTGATGGTAGAGGAGGTGAGCACACAAGGCATGGTCTGAATGAGCCCCAATCTCCTTACACTTATTTGCTGTCTGATAGCTTGTGTATGAGTGCTCAGACAGCCTATTCCACTCATCCTTGCAACACATTTATGGCTTTTCTGCCTTTTCTTTTCTCATACACGGGTGCAGAGTATACCCTGGATAAGATTAGATGTGGTCTCCTATGGGTGTGTTGCTATGGAGCCCATGCCATTAGGTATCATACCCATGGGCTTCCTTTGGATCCTTTCTGAAGGACTCATCTAGGTAATCTTTGCACTGGTTCTTCCACCATCTTAACATGAATTTTAGCTATTCTGTGTAAAGAGGTAAGTATTTGTTTTGGAAGTTGGAAGTTAACATTTTCCTTACCTGAAAAGAATAAGAATTCAGAGGCACAGATGTAGAGGGAGTCATTGCGTATGAATGTGTGTTGCACTCCTACTTTCAGTAGTGCAGATTCATCTAGTTAGATGAGGGTTTTCACAAGGTTGGGAACTTTAAAATCTCTGTCAGAGTGCACAAACTCAAGAAGAAAAAGGCTATTCTCTGTGAAGAGGTAAGTATTTATCAGAAATACATTTTCATGTAAGGAAAATATTAACTCCCCATGCACAAAAATGTTACATTGCACCATATTTGATATTAAGGCTTTATCTTTGATTCGATATTTACCATGTATTATGTTGAAATGCTATTAAGGAAATATTCTTTCTGCTTAGGAATTCTAGGCAGTTCAGCTCCAGTCAACATTCCTGGCAGTGGGAGTATACATGATCATAGAGGGCTAAGTAATTTATCTCCTCCTGCCACTTCTCCCCTTGACTCTCTCCCTCACAGTCTTTCCATGGGAGGAGCTCCCGTTCTTCATCCGGTTGGATCAAGATCCGAACACTCATTAGATAAGGTAAACCTTTGGATTGTGTAAATGGAAAGAGTAGCTAAACAAGCATTATATTTAGTATTTTAAAATGTTTGAAAGTATACAAGTAACTTGAGTTGTAGGAATTAATTTGCATTTAAAAGTACATGCCTGTCTTCATAATTTTAGTTCCAATGTACAAGTACAGGTATAAATGAAGTAGTAGAGTTGTAATGTTAATCAAAAGTACATTAAGGATTTTAACTCAGGGGTATGTCTTTTGTTTCTCACCAACATTGCTAAGGAAATGTTGTCATTCAGTTTTATGACTCATCAACTGGACTGAAACATGTCAGAAAAATTATGTTTATATATATTCAATATAAAGGTTTTAATATAACAGTTTTTAAAGCTAAAAGCTGTCAAAGCTTCGAAAATCAGTTAAGCATAATATTTCTGATAAAAATGTTGAAAATTACAAACATAGTCAAAAAGAAATTCCTGAAACCTAAAGTGAAACTTCAGGGGAAAAAATTAATGCATTTGAGGAAGGAGATTATAAAGAAACAAATTTTTGTTTATGTAGATATCTTTTTATATATTGTATGGTCAGTAACCCTAAAAAGGATTATCTTTTGGTTAACATTTTATCTATGCCTGAAGCTATATATATCAGTAAAACATTGTTGCTATTTTAGTTCTCTACGTGCACTCTCCATAGAAGGATATTTATCTCAATCACCAGCTATCATCTATTTTTTTATGCATAAAATAGAAAAAACGTCTTTTTGTACAAGAAATAAACACTGTAAAAGTATTTTTTTAATATACAAGATTTGTTTAGTTGTTAAGGGTGTCAATATTAAATGCTGTGGGATCCCTTTTAGTTCTCTACATAGTACAGACATTTTGTTCTTCAATTTCTAATTTGTCAAATCTTAGTTGTATGGTATTTAGAAGTTTGTGAAATTGTAAGAAGCTTCAGAAGAATCTTTAAAGTTGTT